CTGGCTCATATTTCCAGTTCCACAGCTCAGGAGGGAGAAAGAGAGAGACTGCTCAGCCCCTATACAACCAGACTCGAAGGTATTAATTGTACAACAATATGTTTAGCCAAAGATTTTAATACAGAAAAAAATCTTTTCTTTGTAATCCTTTCCTTTTAAGTAAAGGATTACCAAGGGGGGGGGGGAGGAATTCCTGCGGGGTGGGGGTGTAATATTTCATTCAGTTTTCTTTAAGCTGCATATTAAAGGACACCCAAATGCATTTGAAGAATCGTTAAAAAAAAACCAAAACAACCCAACACCTTCCTGGGTCTCCCAGTGCCCCCACAGGGTCTCTCTGTGTCCCCACGGGGTCTCGCTGTGTCCCCAAGGCTGCAAGGATGCGCTCAGGACCAGGGGTCCCGGGGAACTTTGCAAAGCCAGCCTTCGCCTTTGCCCTTGCTTGGTTTCGGGAGCAAGCGGAGCTTCCCTCTCTGCTGGGAATCTGCCTTGCCAAACAGGAGCTCTTCAAGCGGGGCTCTTGAATAAAAACACGCAGCCCCGAGGTGCCCAGCAGCTAAAAGCGAGGTCTGGGCTAGCCCTTGCGCTCGGGCGCGCAGCAGCCCCCGGGCGCTGCCAGCACGGCTGTGGTTCCCGCCGCCTCCAGCGCCTGGGCACGGCCAGGGGCTCGGGGCTGCAGCTCTCCCCTAAGCCTGTTAGGGACACATTCTCCTGCCCTGAAATGTGCAAGCGGAGCATTGTCGGCGCTCCAGCTTTGTGCGAGGAGGCCAGGGTGTAAATGGCTTTTAATGACTACAGCTGCTGGCTGGGAGCTGTCAATGCCATGGGCTCATTGAGCGCCTGCGAGCGCGCGGCGCGGTGCTGCCTGCGCCCGGCCGGGCGGCGGAGCCGCTTCCCCCCGCCGCTGGGTCGGTGCAGGGGTGCAAGGCAATGCCAGGAGGTGCCCCCCGCGGCCGGGCATCTTTGGTGTGCGCGGGAGCTAAACTGCATTTAACCTCAATCGGGGTTTATCCCACGGGCTTCATTGTTGCAGCTCCCGGGGGGCCCCGGGGGGCTTTGCAGGGCAGGGACACAGCTCTGCTTGCTCCTGCCCCCAGCCGCCCCTCCTGGCTGGCCAGGCGATGGCCCCAGCCTGGGAGCTGAACGCTTGCTTTGCACTGCCTCTTTGGAGCCGGAGCTCCCGCTAGGCTGGGCTTCTCCTCTGCCCAGCGCCTCGCTCGGCTGGCTCCAGTGCCCCGGCTGGGGACAGGGCAGCCCTGAGCACCCAGTCCCACGGAGGCAATCACGAGAGAGAGAGAGAGAGAGGAGTGGACAGGAGGGGGGGGGGGGGGGG